GCTATTATAAACAAACATGCTATGAACATAGAGGAACATGTTTTCTTTTTATATATTAGAGCATCTTTTTCTTATATGCCCAGGAGGGATATAACTGGACCTTCAGGTAGATCTATTGCCAACTTTCTGAGGAAAGTGCAGATTGATTTCCAGAGTGGTTGTACCAGGTTGCAATCCCATCAGCAATGGAGGAGTGAGTGTTCCTCATTCTCCACATCCTTGCCAACATGTGCTGTCACCTTAGTATTTTATCTAAGTCATTCTGATTGGTATAAGGTGGAATCTCAGAGTCATTTTGATTTGCATTTCCCTGATCATTAAGGAGCTTAAACATTTCTTTAACTGCTTTTCAGCCTTTCAAGATTCCTCTTTGTGACTTCTCTGTTTACTTCTATACAGCCTTTTTTTAGATAGGGTTGTTTGGGGTTTTTTTTGTTTTTTTTTTTTTGGTGGTTAACTTCTTGAGTTATTTATATATTTTGAAAATTAGCCCTCTATCAGATGTGACTTAGTGAAGATTTTTTCCCAATCTGTAGGTTGCCAGTTTCTACTATTGACTATGTTTGCCTTATAGATGCTTTCCAGATTCATGAGATCTAATTTATCAGTTCTTGATCTCAGAGCCTGAGCCATTGGAATTTGGTTTAGAAAATTTGCCTGAATGCCAATTAGTTCAAGGATCTTTCCCACTTTCTAGTCCAGTAGATTCACTGTATCTTGTTTTATATTGATATTCTTGATCCACTTGGCATTGAGCTTTGTACATGGTGAAAGATATGTATGTATTTCAATTTTTCTACATGCAGAATTCCAGTTAGATAAACAATATTTATTGACGATGTCTTCTGTTTTCCATTATATATTTTTTTAATTCTTTGTCAAGGATCAAGTGTCCATAGTTGCGTGGTTTTATTTCTGAGTCTTCAATTCTATCGCATTGATCAACCTGTCTGTCTCTGTACCAATACCATGAAGTTTTTATCACTATTGCTCTGTAGTATAGCTTGAGGTCAGGAATGCTGAGTCCCCCAAAAGTTTTTTATAGTTAAGAGTTGTTTTTGCTATTCTGGGTATTTTGTTTTTACAGGTGGATTTGGGAATTGCTCTTTCCATGTCTTTGAATAATTGTGTTGGGATTTTGATGGGGATTGGAGTGAATCTGCAGATTGCTTTTGGTAGGATAGTCATTGTTACTGTGTTAATTCCAGCAATTTATGAGCATGGGAGATCTCTCTACTTTCTGAGGTCTTCCTCAGTTTCTTTACTGAGAGACATTAAGTTCTTGTCATATAGATGGTTCACTTGATTGGTTAGAGTAACCCTAAGATATTTTATATTATTTCTTCTTTTCCAATTTGTTTCATCTTGATCTCCTTTTGTTGTCTTATTGCTCTAGCTAGAACTTTGAGCACTATATTGAATAGATATGGGGAGAGTGGGCATCCTTGTCCTATCCCTGATTGTAGCGGGATTGATTCATGTATCTCTCCATTTATTTTGATATTAGCTGTTGGTTTGTTGTATATTTCTTTCATTATGTTTAGGTATGGCCCTTGAATTCTCATCTCTCCAAGACTTTTAACATTAAAGGGTGTTGTATTGTGTCAAATGCTTTTTCAACATCTAATAAAATGATCATGTGGTTTTTTTCTCTCTGAGTTTGTTTTTATAGTAGATTATGTTAATGAATTTCCATATATTGCACCAAACCTGCATCCCTGGGATGAAGCCCACTTGATCATGGTGAAGGATGGTTTTGATGTATTCTTGAATTTGGTTTGTAAGAATTTTATTGAGTATTTTTGCATCGGTATTCATAAACAATGTTGGTCTGAAGTTCTCTCTTTTTTCCCCTTGGATTATTCTGTGGTTTACTTATCAGAGTAATTGTAATTTCATAGAATGAATTAGGTAGTGTTCCTTCTGTTTCTATTTTATGGACTATTTTGAGAAGCGTTAGTATTAGCTCTTCTTTGTAGGTCTGATAGAATTCTGAACTAATGCCATCTGGCTCTGGGCCTTTTTTGGTTGGGAGGTTTTTAATGACTGCTTCTGTTTTCTTGGGGAACACAGGCTTGTTTACACAGTTTATCTGATCTTGATTTAACTTCATTATGTTGATCTGTCAAGACAATCAACCATTTCATCCTGATTTTCCAGTTTTGTTGAATATAGGCTTTTGTAGTAAGATCTGATAATTTTTTGAATTTTCTGTTTCTGCTGTTATCTCTCCCTTTTCATTTATTCTTTTCTTAATTTAGATACTTTCTTTGGGCCATTTAGATACTTTAGCTATCTTGTTGATTTTCTCGAAGAAATACCTTTTGGTTTGATGGATCCTTTATAACTTTTTTTTTGGTATCTTTTTGGGTGATTTCAATTCTGAGTGTGATAAATTTATGCCCTCTACTCTCCTTGGGTGTGTTAACTTCTTATTGTTCTATGCTTTCAGGTGTGCTATTAAGTTGCTAGTGTGGGATCTCTCCAATTTCTTTATCAGGATACTTAGTGCTATGAAGTTTCCTATTAGCACTGTTTGCATTCTGTCCCATAAGTTTGGATAGGCTGTGTCATAATTTCACTGAATTCTAGGAAGTCGTTCACTTCTTTCTTTATTTCTTCCCTGACCAAGTTATTGAGTGGAGAGTTGTTCAGTTTCCAAGGGCATGTGTGCTTTCTGTTGTTATTTTATGTTTTGACTTTTCATTGATATTTGTGTCAATATCTTCCAAGGTATTCTCTATACTTGAGATTCTCTTTTATGTATTTTATTCTGTTGGTGATGCTTAGATCTGCAGTTTCTGATGTCTTTCCTAGGTTTTCCATTTCAAGAGTTGCCTCTATCTGTGTTTTCCTTATTGTTTCTACTTCCACTTTTAGGTCTTGGACTGATTTGTTCAACTACTTTCCCTGTTTGATTGTGTTTTCCTGTATTTCTTTAAGGGATTTGTTTGTTCCAATTTAAGGGATTCTACCTGTTTATCTGTGTTTTTCTGTATTTCTTTCAGTGAGTTATTTATATTCTTCTTAAAAGACTCTATCATCATCATGAGGTGTTATTTTAGGTCAGCCTCCTGATTTTCAGGTGTGTTGGAGTATTCAGGGCTTGGTGTGGTGGGAGACCTGGGTGCTGTTGACGCTACAGTACATGGGCTTCTGTTGCTTATGATCATGTGCTTGGCTTTTGCCATCTAGTTGTCCCTGGTCTTAGCTTCTCTGGGTGTCTCTGTCTGGAGCCTGCCTCTTGTGTCCCTGGGTTGCTCTAAGTCTCCTGGTAGGCCTGTGGCCCTGGCTGTAGCAGATCTCTTGTCAGGCCTTCAGGCTGTGGGGTCATCAGAGGGGCATATATACTGGTGACCTGTTGCCCTGGCTTCAGAACCTCTTCTGGAAGACTTTCAGACTTTGGGGTCTTCAGAGAGGCATACAAGCTGCTGATCTGTTGTTTTGGTTGGAAAAAATCTCTTGGGAGGACTTCAGACTCTTCATTCTTCAGAGGAGCAGCCAAGCTGTTGCTATGAGAGTAGCTGCTCTCCTGGCAGGCCTTCAGACTGTGGGCTTTGTTGCCCTTTGTGCAGCTGAAATCCAGGGAGGCTTTCAGAATGTTGGGTCAGTTGTCCTGCAGGAAGAGGAGTGCCTGGGAGGCTTCAGACTGTGGTATCTTCAGAGGAACAGGGAAGCTGGTGTTCTGCCCTGGCAGAAGTAGGTCAGAAGGTGTGTAGACTTCGGGGACAGGGCATTTGGGGGGTTTGATGGATCCAGAGTCCACTGGACTCCCCGGGATTCCCAGCTGCTGCACTTGTTTGAGGGTTCCCTTACCAGTTGCCCTGTGTGCAAAGGAATTCATGGGAGGCTTCATAACATGGTGTCTTCAGAGGAGCAAAGAAGCTAGTGATCTACCCTGGCAGAAGACACAGAAGAGAAGGGGAGTAGAATTTGGAGGGGCACGGTTTGGGGGGTGATTAGTCCCAAATACACTGGGCTTCTCAGGATTTCCAGCTGCTGCAATTGTTAGAGTGGGGTGGTGGGTCCCCAGTTGACTTGTGTGCAGAGGAATTCCTAGCAGGCCTTCAGACTTTGGTGTCTTCAGAGGAGCAGACAAGCTGGTCCCAATATTTCTTACATGTGTTTGACCATGACATTGGATTAATAACATTGAAGTAGGAAAGGGATTGTGTCTTGACAACTCAGATAACTTATTGTGTCAGACAAAAATGATCACTTTTCTGATTCCTTTCCATATAAAGCTTCAGAAAACTGCCATTCCAATGAACCATTTTGTTTCAATGGATCTTCTCCTTACTATAATGTCAATTCAAAAAGATAAGTAATTTTCTCACATTCTTTAAGCAAAAAAAAAGTCCAAGGTAGCTAGGTTAGGGAAGATTATGAAGGAACTATGGCAGGAGAGAGTATCATGAAAAGGCAACAAACAAACAAACAAAAAACCAAAAATACAAAAACAAAAAAAACGATAACAACAAATGTTCTCCAGACCCTTGGCTATCCCTTTGGACTAGAATTAGAACAATTTTTCAATTTGCATAGCATAATTGATAGAAAGATTGACAGAACTAATGAAATACTTATTAGAAAGAAAAAGTACCTATTGTAAACTATTTAGTTGTTTGGTATCATAGGTATTCCTTAAAAGCAATTCAACAGTTTAAAATGAGGTAATCGGGGGTGCCATACAAAATAGAGTTGTCAGCTTAAAAGTTTAAAGTACTACCATTGCTATTGGAAAAGTGCCTATGTGCATTTCAGATGTGTCAGCAGCTGACAAGGGTTAGAAAGATCAATCATGTGACCTACAGCAAAAGGAAGTACAGTGGTAGGATCTGAAGCCAGTCTTTTCTCACAAATTTGCATACCTAAAAAGACTAACATGGTTATGAAATCTGAAGTTGATTTACTTGAAATACCACTGAAATGATGAGGCAGCAGTGGAAAGAGGAGAGGTATAAATTCCAGATCTCAGGATCAGCCACACACAGGCTCCTATCCTTCCTGCCAACTTCTGCCTTCAGAAACACAGGTAAGTGCTTCCAGCTACTATTGATAAACAGAATGAACTATGTTTCAGGATATCAATGCTGTGTTTTATATCATGTGTATGTGATATTTTCCCTGATTGTACTTCTCTTGATCTGTCGAGGAGTAGTTAAAAGGCTCCTTCACTTAATTTGTTTTTTGTCTAAGTTATTTAATTTTGGTTAAACATATGTATCTTGCCAAGCATGTAGGATTTGTGCTTAGCAACTACAGAATCTGAAAGAAAAGTTGAGAGGAGGATTTTGACACCTAGCTGCCAGGAAGCTACAGAAATCTTTATCTTGGAAGTCATTTGAAACCTTTCCACCCAAAACTAGCACAGATGATGAGGAAGGAAAGATAAAAGGATTCTCTACTTGCTGTTCCCAAAGTCTTAAAGACACTATCTTTGTACATTCTAGTTAGGAGAAGTACTTTGCAGAAGACTTAAAAAATAATAAATTTATTGCCAGAATCTGATAATGCAGGTATATCATTTTCTTTAAGAAATGTTCATTACAAGGTGATGCTTTATCTAGTGAAGTCATTCTAACATTTGTCCTGACTTTATTTTGTTCTAGGACTTAAGGTCACATTAAGCCACCATGCATTTGTTTGCTGAAGCCACTACTAAATTCACACTTGAGCTGTTCAGGCAGCTCAGAGAATCAAAGGACAATATCTTCTATTCCCCAACCAGTATAATGACAGCATTAGCAATGCTCCAGCTTGGAGCAAAAGGAAACACTGAACAACAAATTGAGAAGGTAGGTCTAAGCTTCATTTTGTTGACTAGTTTGAACTTGTCTCACTCTGTCAATGTTCAGGTAAATGACAATGAAGCTTGATGCCTGAGATGAAGAACAAGATACTGAGTAGGCATTGCCATGACTGTGAACATGGAACTATGGGAGGAACATGCCCTTCCCAAACACGGTCCAGGTGTTCTCTGCTATCCTTTAAGTGCTAGACTGCAGTAATTGCTCTCAAGTGTCCAACAAGAAATTATCTTAAACTGTAGAGACTATTGATGCAAGCAATGGATTGTCTCAGTTCTGAGGGATGTAAATTGAGTTGTTTCCTAAGCACTGACTGGATGGGCATTGATTTATGTGACTGGTGATAAATCAGCTCTATGGTGTTTTTGCAAACTCTTCTACAAATATTTGGGGTATGCTTTTTTCCAAATTTTTAAGGTTTTTGCATTTCTTCTTCAGGAGTTTCTTCTGTTTTTGTTTCCTTGAACTTACACAGAACTTTAAATAAACTTTTCTTGTTATTCTTGTTGTCTCTCTCAGGTTCTTCAATTCAATGAAACCACCAAGAAGACAACAGAAAAAACTGTAGACTGCCATGTAAGTGCAGGGTACCTCATGCCTAGAAGAGCTTCTAATTTTTGACACCATTATAATTTAAAGTGAACATTTTATATTTAAAAGAATCAGTCTGCAGGGCAATTTCCAACCAAAAGAGCTTTGGATGTAGTGTAGTGTCATGCTTCTTTCCCATAGTCATTTTGGTCATTAACTACAGAAGTTCAGTATTAGATAGAGAGGAGGATGGCCTAAATTCAGCTCTTACTCTGCCTCTCACAGATGGGGACCATGAACCAAGCTCTGCCATGATGCACTAGGACTACATTCTAGCAAAATAGGAGCAATAAGGAATATGATTCAACATATACAAACACAGAAATGTCTGCCTTACTGATAGTAAGAAACCATACGAATGTTAGACAAGATTATTGCAAGAAAAGAGTAATTCTCAGTAACTCAATAATGTTGCTAAAACAATTTTATATTAATTCAACAATTTGGAGTAGGAGAAATAAGTATATATTCATGTATTAAGAGAAATAAACACATCACACCTATATGTGTGTAGAGGATTAATCATGCTGCTTTCTTAACATGAAAAGAGATGTATTCTGATTCAGACAAACTTAGATTTAAAATTTTTCTCTATAATATCTCTTTGAAGAGATCATTAAATTCTCTAAACCATTTTGTCTTTATCTAGACTGTACTCAGACTGACATTGCTTACATATAGTCCAGTCCTTAGATAAATCATGGGCATATGCTATCTTATACGGAGAGAATATCCACCCTCAGAGAAGAACCATTAATCACAGTCAACTTCTCTCAGACACTACCATTAAAGGGTATATATAACTACATACACATACTCATATATATATATATATATATATATATATTTTTTTTTTTTTTTTTTTTTTTTTTTTTAATTAGAAAAACATAGCATAACCATATATTTGCAACTGTTAGAAATGATATGTGATCTGTAGCTTTGAAGAACTTAAGCCAAAACAACCTAAAAGTATTGCATATTTAGTTCAGAAGGTGGAAAACTGGATTATGTGAAAGAAGGAAAAAAGTCATTTAAGAAAGAAGTTGAATGTAAACTCTGCATGTTTAAGATAAAATATAACAAATATGAGAAAATGTTCAAAAAGTAATTAGTGATTACAAGTGTTTAGGTATTTATTTTCTGGGATTATTAGTTGTATTAGCAGAGTATTTCAATGAACTCTTTTTTTGACATTGAAGGATGAAAAAAATGTCCATGAACAATTTCAAAAGCTTATGATTCAGTTAAACAAATCCAATGATGCTTATGACCTGAATGTTTCCAACAGTATATATGGAGCAAAGGATTTCCAATTTCTCCAGGTAAGTTGTACCTGGCTCTGCATCCCTTTAATCTGCATCCTAGTTCCTACATGTATGAATGGCCGTACGGGAAAGTGAGGCCAGGCAGGTCCAGATAGGCAACACTTGCTCAGGGAACAAGTTTCATAGTCAAAATTGTAACCTACTGGATTGTCGAAAAGCCTAGTGATTTGTGTGTTAAGCATAGACAGGGAAACTCTTCCATGATTGAATGTAGGTCACCAAACTTCTCTTGAGATGTTAGTAATGAACCAGTACTTTCATGATTACAGAAATTATGACAGGAGATCTACATTGAGGAGGTTGTTTCTGGAATGAGCAGGCTTGGGGAAATACTGGAGAGAACTGGGGAGGGAGCAGATAGCATAGCATTTCCTGCATTCAACACATGAACAAAGGAGAATTGCAATGGTTGAACTTAGTGGTAGGATAGCTTCTCAGCCAATCAGCTCTCTCAGGAGAATTTACTATGAAATTTGCAAGTAAGACCTTCTTTTCCACCTGCCATCTGCCAGATGCTATATCAGTGTAAGGTTGCCTTCATTTCACTGTGTTCTCAAATTGCCTACATATTACCTGAGTAAAAACATCATGTGCATAGCCTAACAGTTGCCATCAGGGTCAGCAATCAGATTATAGTATCACCATAATGAATGAAATTTGAATGATGTCTATGTTGTTCTTAATTCTTTTTGGTTCCTTCACATCTCAAAGAAATTTTTGGAAAACATTAAGGAATACTACCAAGCTAACGTGGAATCACTTGATTTTGTACATGCTGCAGAAGAAAGCCAAAAGAAGATTAATTCCTGGGTAGAAAAGCAAACAAACGGTAATCTATGTTAGGGTCTCTGGAGGAAGCACCTGAGATTATGGGATGGTCTACTAAATATGAAGTGAGCTAAGAGGATGTATGGAGAAGTTGGCAGAAAAGCAATGAGTTTAAGTACAACAGGGTATTTGTATACATATAGATTATTTAGTGATAAGTTTGAGAATCTGAAGGCTCCACCCAAATATATCTGCATATCATATCAGTCATATCAATACTAGGTTGCAGACAATTCTTGAAAACTAAGAGTAAATGTTAGAAAAAGTCCCATTCTCTTTTTCCAGTCAGAAAAGCAAGGCACTTCTTGTCACCACAGCTGGCTATCAGACCATATCTCAAGCCTGACACTTGAAAAGAATTTATCACATAGTCTTTGACATCTAGCACAGAGATCTCAATAGATACCAATTCCCATAACTCATCTCTGTTTATAGGTCAAACCTGAAGCAATCGAATATGAAATCGAAAAGGAAGACACAGCAGGACTGGTGTCTGATAAAACCAGAAATGTGCTTCAGACTATAGAATCCATGTCATTTGTAGAAAAGAATCAATCAAGCCTTGGTAGAAAGCTAGAAGAGGGACAAAAGAGTTAGGTTGACAGTATAGATGGAAACAGTGTTTGAGTATTCACTGTGAGTTGGCCGTAATCACCCAGACTGGAAGTCTGACAGCCTTTCCTATGACAAGATCTGATGTGTCCATCCCAGGTAGCTCACAAGGCACTTCGAGGAAGGCTACTTCTTATGAACAAGTCAACAATTTCCTCATGTAATGACTTGGGTGAACAGTGATAAGTGATCAACTGAGAACTCTTGTAAAGCATCCTCCAGGAAAGCTCTTGTCTTTCCCTTGAAGGAAAAATCAAAGACTTATTTCCTGCTGGGAGCCTGAGCAGTAGCACTATACTGGTTCTGGTGAATGCAGTGTATTTCAAAGGACAATGGAATCACAAATTTGATGAAAAGAATACCACAGAAGAAAAGTTTTGGCTGAATGAGGTATTGGTTAGCAGTTTATTTACATAAAGTCATATGGTGATGTGTGGATGATTTAATGTAAATATATGTGATGCCATGGAAGTCAAAAATAATATAGATCATGTGTTTTGTTTTTGAATCTTAACAAGGAATAACTAAAGAAACTTTTGCCTAGACTTTAAAAAATGCCAGGGTTATGTCTTCAAAGGATGCTAATTTGTTTGGTATTTCAGCAATATCATCTGTGCTATTCTAGGTCTCCCTTGATAACTTTTGACCTCCTGATTCATTGCAGAATACAAGTAAACCTGTCCAGATGATGAAACAAAAAAATAAATTTAACTTCAACTTTATGGAGGATATGCAGGCCAAGATTGTGGAACTTCCATACAAAGGCAAAGAGCTAAGTATGTTTGTCCTGCTGCCAGTGGAAATTGAGGGTCTGAAGAAGGTACAGCTCGTGTCTCCTTTTCTTCCTTCTATTACCTGATTTATTCCCAATGTATCAAACTGAATTAAGACACTAAGGAATTAATTAAACATGACTATAATGAAAAATTTGATGTTGGATAATGTGTCTCATCCTGTAATATAAGTATTTTAAACACAGCCTGAATCACATTGCATGCTTGCCTAATCAGGAATTAAGCTGAGTAATGAATATTAAATATCAACTTGATGCCACTAATATGCAACAAGATGAACTTGGTTGAATGAAACATATAGCATTGTAGAAAGTGTTTATAAATGTTTTGAATGAAAATGAAAAACATAGAGCATTAGATGATAACTATAAAATGTAATACTATGTACAGATAGCTGGCTGGGAGCATAAACAATAATGAACACAGTATATTTTGTACAAAACAATGATTCTGGGTTTTGGTTTTTGGAAATAAAATCTAACTTTAAATTATCTAAATAAATAATATCTAAACACAAAAATCACTACTCATTTATTCCTAAAGATTATACTTTAATTTGTAGTTCATGTAAGTTGTGACTTATAGCTAATCATAGCCATCTCTTTTCTTCCACTATTGTAGCTTGAAGAACAACTCACTGCTGAGAAGTTTCTAGAATGGACAAGCCCAGAGAAGATGCACATGATGGACATGTATTTATCTTTGCCTCGGTTCAAACTGGAAGAGAAGTATGACCTCCCACGTCCATTGGAACACATGGGGATGCTCGACGCCTTCAATCAACAGAAGGCTGACTTCTCAGGCATGAGCAGCCCTCAAGGTCTCGTGGTGTCTAACATTTTACACAAGTCCTTTGTGGAAGTAAATGAAGAGGGAACAGAAGCTGCAGCTGCCACGGGTGTGGAAGTTGGTGTAACATCAGTACAGATATCAGAGGACGTCAATTGTAACCACCCTTTCCTATTCATCATCAGGCATAACAGGACCAAAAGCATCCTCTTCTTTGGCAAAATGTCTTCCCCTTAAGTGCAGTGGCTCTGCCATGCCTCCAGAAAAGTTAACGAAGTTCTGCAGCTAATTATGGCCCGGAAAGAATTTCTCTTGCTTCATTTTCTTTCCCATCTCAGAGTCCCAGCTAAGAGTGTGTTGCTTGGGGCAGGAAAGCTCTAGTATCTCTATTGTTCTTTTGTTTTCTTTTTTCTATACATCCATACATTCTCTGGGGAGAAATTTTCAGCAAAAAGATTAAGGGATGTTTTAATATAGATTCCACTAATGTAGCATGTGTCGGTGACCTGTGTTAAGTGAGCTGGAGAAAATACCTTCTTTTTAAACTGATTAATATAAACACCTGCATTGCTTAGGGGATATCTGAAGACTTCATAAGCTTACAAATGTTGTGATTTTACAAAATACATTTTCAATAAAATAATGATCTTGTCAACTTACTCGTTACCTGTTCATCCTTTCAACTGCAAGATGTCAATCATTCAGAAGGAATATGGAGGGAATGTTACATGCAAATTCATCTATGCTGAATCTGGGATGGTATGTGAATACATTTCTACATATGTTTTTATTATTTTTGTGAGCAAAAAAAAATGTAGGTTTATGGCATATGTATTGTAGAATCAGGGATCCAACTCAAGGCCTCTTGCATACCAGTTAAGATCTTTACCACTGAGCCAATCTCTGGCACAAATAAAAATTTAAATACTACAAAATTAAAGAACAATTTCATCAAAGATGAATAAATTAGAAACATATTAATATTAATATAATTTCATATATCAGCAGTCCTCCTGAGAAATCCCTAGAGATCTGTGTTACCAGTGTAATAATCGTTAGAAAAAATGCTATCACATGTAATTTAAATAAAGACACTTTACGCTAATTAATCCACTTTCTTCTGACTAGCTGATGTGGCTAGCATACAGTCTCTTTCACCATGGAATTTTCAACACTTTTATCATTCTGATTCCATCACCACAGAACACATAACAGCTCAGCTTAAAAATCTAGATAATTCCATGACAAAAATCAACATCAGTACCTTAAGCACACTGTTAGTAAATAAAGATACAAGGGGTTGACTCTTTAAGAGTTAAAAAAAAAAAGCTATCCAAATTTCAAATCCAATTTGATTTGAATAGAAATCACTGGAAAAATTAACCCAAAATACTACAAGAGAAAACATATGGTTTTCACTTTTTTTTTATCAATTACCCTTTATTTTTTAAAAATTGGATATTTTATTTATTTGTATTTTAAATGTTATCCCCTTTCTCAGTTTCCAGGTTTCTCCTCTGTGTATCCCCTATCTCATCCCCCTTACCCTGCTCCACCACCCACCCACCTACTCTCTCCTCATCTCCCTAGAATTCCTCTACACTGGGGCATCAAGTCTTCACAGGACCAAGGGCCTCCCCTCCCATTGATGCCAGATAAGGCCCCTTCAGTTCCTTCAGTCCTTCTCCTAACTCCTCCATTAGGGTCCCTGTGCTCTGTCTGATTTTTGGCTGCAAGGGACTGCATCTGTATTGGTCAGGATCTGGCAGAGCCTCTCAGGAGACAGCTCTATCAGGCCCCTGTCAGCAAGCACTTCTTGGCATCAGCAACAGTGACTGGGTTTGGTGTCTGCATGTGGGATGGATTCCCAGGTGGGTCTTTCCTTCAGTCTCTGCTCCGCTTTCTTTGTCCCTGTTTTTCCTTTACACAGAAGCAATTCTGGGTTAAAATTTGGAGATGGGTAGATGGCCCCATCCCTCAACCAGGGGACCATGACTAACATCTGGAAATGGTCTCTACAGGTTCTCCTTCTCCTTTATGGGGTATTTCAGCTAATGTCATCCCCGTGGGGTCCTGGGAGGCTCTTGCTTTCCTAGCATCTGGGACTTTCTGGTTGCCATCCCCAGTTCCCCTTCCCTCATTGCTACACACCTCTGTTCAATTTCTTGACCCTCTCTGTACATCTTCTCCATCTCCTACCATACTTGATTTTGCCTCTCTCATTCCCCTCCCCCTCATCTCTTCCTCTAAAGTCCCTCCTACCCTATACTTCTCTTGATTATTTTCTTGCCACTGCTAGGCTTCCACTCTTTGGTCTTCCTTTCTCTTGAGCTTCATGGCCCATGAGTTGTATCTTGGATATTCCATGTTCTTTGCATAATATCCACTTATCAGTCAGTACATACCATGTGTATTCTTTTGTGACTGGGTTACTTCACTCAGGATGATATATTCTAAATCCATCCATTTGCCTGTGAATTTCATGAAGTCATTGTTTTTAATAGCTAAATAATATTCCACTGTGTAAATATACTACATTTTCTGTATCCATTCCTCTGTTATGGAACATGTGGGTTCTTTCCAGCTTCTGGCTATTATAAATATGGCTGCTAGGAACATAGTGGAGCATCTGTCCTTGTTATTCGTTGGAGCATCTTTTCAGTATAAGCCCAGGAGTCATATAGCTGGTTCCTCAGGTAGTACTATGTCCAATTTTCTAAGGAAGCGCCATACTGATTTCCAAAGTGGTCGTACCACCTTGAAATCCCATCAACAATGAAGGCGTGTTCCTCTTTCTTTATATCCTTGCCAGCATCTGCTGTCACCTGAGGTTTTGGTCTTATCCATTCTGATTGATGTGAGGTGGAATCTCAGGATCATTTTGATTTGCATGTCCCTGACTACTAAGGAGGTTGAACATATCATTAGTTGCTTCTAAGCCATTTGATATTCTTCGTTGAGAATTGTCTGTTTAGCTCTGTACCTCATTTTAATAGGGTTATTTGGTTTTCTGGAGTCTAACTTCTTGAGTTCTTTGTATATAGTGGATGTTAGCCCTCTAGTGGATGTATGATCAGTAAAGATCTTTACCCAATCTGTTGGTTGCCATTTTGTCCTATTGGCAGTGTCCTTTGCCTGATAGAAACTTTGCGATTTTATAAGGTACCATTTGTCAATTCTTGATCTTAGAGCCTAAGTCATTGGTGTTCTGTTCAGGAACTTTTCCCCTGTGCCAAGTATTAGAGGTTCTTCCCCACCTTCTCCTCTATTAGTTTCATTGTATCTGATTTTATGTGGAGGTCCTTTATCCACTTGGACTTGAGCTTTGTACAAGGAGATAAGAATGGATTGATTTGCATTCTTCCACATGTTGTCCTCCAGTTGAACCAGCACCATTTCTTGAAAATGCTGTCCTTTCTACTGGACAGTTTTGGCTCCTTTGTCAAAGATCAAGTCACCATAGGTGTGTGGGTTCATTTCTGGGTCTTCTATTCTATTCCATTGATCTTCTTGACTGTCTCTGTACCAATACCATGCAGTTTTTATCACTATTGCTTTGTAGTACAGCTTGAGGTCAGGGATGATGATTCCCCCAGAAGTTCTTTTTTGTTGACAATAGTTCTCGCTATCCTGGGCTTTTGTTATTCCAAATGAATTTGAGAATTTCTCTTTCTAACTCTGTGAAGAATTGAGTTGGGATTTTAATGGGGATTGCATGGAATCTGTAGATGGCTTTTGGCAAGATGGCCATTTTTACTATATTAATCTTGCCAATCCATGAGCATGCTAGATCTTTCCATCTTCTGAGAGCCTCTTTGATTTCTTTCTTCAGATACTTGAAGTTCTTGTTATACAGATCTTTCACTTGTTTGGTTATATTCACACCAAGGTATTTTATATTATTTGTGACTATTGTGAAGGGTGTAATTTCCCTAATTTCTTTTTCAGCCTGTTTATCTTTCACGTAGAGGAAGGCTACTGATTTGTTTGAGTTGATTTTATAACCAGCCACTTTGCTGAAGTTGTTTTCATCAGGTTTAAGAGTTCTTTGGTGGGAGTTTTGGGATAACTTAAGTATAGTATTATATCATCTGCAAATAGTGAGATTTTAACTTCTTCCTTTCCTATTTGTATCCCTTTGACTTCTTTTTGTTGTCTAATTGCTCTGGCTAGGACTTCCAGTACTATATTGAATAGGTAGAGGGAGAGTGGGCAGCCTTGTCTAGTCCCTGATCTTAGTGGGATTGCTTCAAGTTTCTCTCCATTTAGTTTGATGTTGGCTACTGGTTTGCTGTATATTGCTTTTACTATGTTTAGGTATGGGCCTTGAATTTCTGATCTTTCCAAGACTTTTACCATGAAGAGACGTTGAATTTTGTCAAATGTTTTCTCAACATCTAGTGAGATGATCATGTCTTTTTTTTTTCTTTGAGTATGTTTGTATAGTGGATTACATTGATGGATTTCCAAATATTGAACCATCCCTGCATTCCTAGGATAAAGCCTACTTGATCATGATGGATGATTGTTTTGATGTGTTCTTGGATTCAGTTTGCCAGAATTTTATTGAGTATTTTTTCATCGATATTCATAAGGGAGATTTGTCTGAAGTTCTCTTTCTTTGTTGGGTCTTTGTGAGGTTTGGGTATTAGTGGGATTGTAGCTTCATAGAATGAATTAAATAGTGTTCCTCCTGTTTCTATTTTGTGGAATAGTTTGAAGAGAATTGGTATTAGGTCTTCCTTTAAGGTCTGATAGAATTCAGCACTAAAACCATCTGGTCCTGGGCTTTTTTTTGGTGGGGAGACTTTTAATGACCGCTGCTATTTCCTTAGGGGTTATGGGACTGTTTACATGGTTTATTTGCTCCTGATTTAACTTTGGTAGCTGGTGTCTGTCTATAAAATTGTCCATTTCATCCAGATTTTCCAATTTTCTTGAGTATAGGCCTTTGTAGTAGGTTCTGATGTTTTTTTTTTAATTTCCTCAGTTTCTGTTGTTATGTCTCCCTTTTCAGTTCTGATTTTACTAATTTAGATACTGTCTCTGTGCCCTCTGGTTAATCTGGCTAAGGGTTTATCTATCTTGTCTATTTTCTCAAAGAACTAGCTCCTGGTTTTGTTGATATTTTGTATATTTCTTTTTGTTTCTACTTGGCTGATTTCAGCTCTGAGTTTGATTGTTTACTGGCATCTACTTCTCTTGGGTGTATTTGCTTCTTTTTGTTCTAGAGCTTTCAGGTGTGCTCTCAAGTTGTTAATGTATGCTCTCTCCAGTTTCTTTTTGTAGGCACTTAGATCTATGAGTTTTCCTCTTAAAACTGCTTTCCTGGAGTCACACAAGTTTTGGTATGATGTGCCCTCACTTTTATTAAATTCTAAAAAGTCTTTAATTTCTTTCTTTATTTCTTCCTTGACCAACTCATCATTGAGTAGAGTGTTGTTCAGTTTTCACGTGCATATGGGTTTTCTATTGGTTTTGTCATTATCAAAGCCTTAGTCCATGGTGATCTGATAGGATGCAAGGAGTTATTTCAGACTTTTTTGTATCTTTTGAGGCCTGTTTTGTGACCAATTATATTGTCTATTTTGGAGAAGGTACCATGAGATGCTGAGAAAAAGGTATATTCTTCTATTTTATGGTGAAATGTTCTATAGA